GCGAGAGCTGGGGCCAACAGGAGGGCTACGGCAAACGCTTTGAGAAGGGTGGTTCCAAGGGCCAGAGCCAGTACAAGGGTCATGTGCAATTCAGTGGTCGTGTAGACTTCTCCGGCTGCAGCTCGGAACACTGCTACAGTGGTGAATACGAGGGCTACGACTGCAAGGACGGTCACTGTGCCACCGTGTGCAAGGGCAGCGAATGCCACGAGGAGAAGGAATACGGTCATGGCTATGGTTACTAGACTTCTCTGACTTATCAGTAATAAAGCAGAATGCCTTAGCACCCTTCCGTGGCTTCTTGCTGTTTGTTTGCTAAAAGCAGTTTCGAACTTTCCAAGTCGTAGGTTAATCAATATATTCGTTCAGTGTGCCTGTGTTTGAAAGAGGCCTCAGTTTTAGGTTACGGATAGTTCTTCTGGTTGGCATAAGTTGAAGGTGACTCTGGGTTCAGTATGTTTTCAGTTTTTTTCCAATAAGCTACTACGTTATGCACTGCGTTGAGGTCTAAAAGCAGACCTATTTTTCACTTTATATTGTGCCGCCTTGAGTGTGTGTTTCTTTATATTTCCATATCAGATGAATAGGCGTTATATTTACAACCTAGGCGGCAATTATAACCCTGACCGACCAATCATCACAAAGAGATTGAAGCACATTTCTCTTCCGTTTCCTCGAAATACATAAATAATCATCCCTACCAGCGAGCACTGCCCGATCGGCAACTCTCCAGTTAAGGGTTTTTTAACGGCTACACAGTTGAGAATCTATCAATAAAGGCCAAAATATAATGCTTACTTAGTAAATTGCAGAGCTGTTTGTAGGGGGTTAGCGACTGGAATGTAGTATATGGTCTCCAGCGACTTCTTTAGTCAGTCTCGTCGGAGCTATTAAGACATCTGAATGTTTCTTTGCTGAAGATGAATTTGAAGCTAGGCCTACATCGGAATCCGTTTATTTACTGCCCATTCGCTTCCTTATACACCAGTAAGCTTGATATGAGATAATGTCGGCGATTAATCATGCCTGATATAGTAAGTCAACTAAGCTATTCACACCTGTGGCCAGCTGGTTTATAGGCTTGGTTGCGATTGAAGGTTCAGAAGATAAATGTTCACTGAGGGTTCAGCCTGTTTACATCTCTGCTGTTTTCCACGATAGTGCTTTCATGGAGATTAAAGTATCCTATTCGAAAAACAGGTCGAAAGCATCGCTGCTTTTTGCGTATATATGGTGGCTGATCGAACTTTTAACGGATTTTGGTCGAGAAGTTAATCTGTGATAGATCGTCGGAAATTCCGACAGTTTTGGCGTAAGTCTGCGGTATTTGTAGTTTTAAAATTATTCAAAACTACCAATGCAATAACAGTGGGGAGGTGCAGGCGTGACTGTTTTCAGTTCTCGGAAGTGCTGGTTTCAAGGTTAACTGATGTGGGCAAATCTCCTTCCGAATGCTGGTCTAAAAATGTGGTTTGCAAATTTTTCTTCTTGACTTTCAAGTACTGGAAATAGTCATCTTCTAGGGTTTATGCAGAGTAGTTGGTTTTAAGGTCGTTATGTCTTCTACAGTAAAAAACAGTATTGGCAAAAGTTCAATCTGGATAGTAGTCTAGCACAAATTGATTAACTGTCTCGGTGGAATGGGACAAGATGTTTTTCATTAAAAAATGAAATATCGCACAACAGTACCCTCCCCGGCAAGCGTAGGCGGTTTGGACTGACTCCTGTCAGCGGCGACATCGATGTGAATTTACTCTTTCACCGGCTCCTATGGAGCAGGTTACATTTGCCGAGCAACGAGGCCTCAGGAAAACAGAGTACGTGAACACATATAGCTCTGGCTGAATAAAGGTGAAACTATATCCATCTCTATTTCTATTCTCGCACACCCTTACGATGCCTTTCAGGTTGTCTGCCGAAAAACCAACCAACTATTCCAAGGGCTTACGCCAACAGGTGCTAGCGACAGTCGAAGCAATGTCTGTAGAGCTAGCGAATCCAGTGCTGTGCTGACAGAATACGCTAATAGAGGCACTCATCCGTGGCTGACGCCGAGGCCAGGTGGCTATCGCCTGTCGACCCCACCCTCCTGATGACAGTTGCTCACTCCGTGCACGTAGCAATGATTTTCATTCCACTCGACTCATGATAAATGCTCAC